GCTGCCAGCCCTGGCTCCCACAGTTTTATATGCATAAGCAGCTGATCCTGCCCCTTGGCTCCTGCCCCTACCACTGTGCTTGCAATCACAGATGGCCCTGCAGCTGCCCACATACACACAGAGAGTCTTAATTCCTATCACCTAACCCTGGCTGGTTCCTACAATTGAGCATAAGCAAGCTTCCAGCCTCCGCCATCCCACATGTGCTTTTACAGTCTTCCCCATCTCCTGTTTCTGTCTCCAGCACTTACCCCAGTGCTTGAGCCTACATTTGGATCTGTGGCCAGAGGCCTGTCTGCAGCCAGCCTCTACACCAGAGGATGTGCATTCCACTGGCTCTGGCCTTTGTTGTTTCTAGCCGTGGCCCTTTGTTGCTGGACACAGAGGCACAGCAGAGGACTCCAGTAGCCCTTGCAGCCTCTGCAGACATCCTACAGCTCTTGCCATCAAGGGTCACACAGGTGTCAATGTCACAGACTCTAACTGAACTCACAAGATTCAGTGCCCCCCTAGATCTCAAGTCACCACACACACCACACTTGGTACCTTGTGCCCTTAGACCCAGTGCCACAGCATGCCTCAGGATGCCTCTGTTTCTCCCTATCCTCTCTCCACACCCACAGGTGAAGGTCTCTCCTTACTGGTGGCAGCCCATAAAGTTTGGAAGAGTTAACTTTTTCATCAAATGCACAGACACCTTTGCAAGAATACAAGGATCATAAAGAATTTGGGAAATATTATGCCACCAAAGGAACATAATAAACTCTAGTAACTAACCCCAAAGAATTAGAGATACAGGAATTGCCTAACAAATAGTTTAAAATAAATTTATGCTCAGCCTCGGCAAATAGTGAGACCCTGTGTCTACAAAAAATATAAAAATTAGCTGGATGTAGTGGCACACACTACAACTTCCACCTCCCACGTTCAAGTGATTCTCCTGCCTCAGCCTTCCAAGTTGCTAGGATTATAGGCATCTGCCATGCCCCACTAATATTTGTATTTTTAGTAGAAATGGGGTTTCACCATGTTGACCAGGCTGGTCTCAAACTCCTGACCTTAAGTGATCTCCCCACCTTGGCCTCCCAAAGTGCTGGGGTTACAGGCGTGAGCCATCGCACCAAGCTGACATACCTAGTTTTTAACATAGTGCCTTGACATAGTAGGTAGTTGCTGAGTGTTGCTGAAAGGAGCATCTGCTGCAATTATAAGCTTGCTTTAATGCTAGTTATGAGTTCTAAATTTTTGCCTTAAACAGTTTAGTTATCATCTCCTTCAGGAAGTTTTTTCCTGATTCCTGTTCCCCATGATTTAGGGGCTCTCTTCTGAATTTACATGTCATAGCACTAATCACTCTGTTTTTAATATATGATGCTCCTTGAGAGAGGATAGACTGTACCTTTCACACAGGCCCAAACAGTGTGGCGCTTGCCAGGGATTTGTAAATGTTTGTTAAATGTTAAAGGTAATAAATGAATGCACTAAACAGCCCAAAATAGAATCACTAATTTTTTTAGCTGTTTGTTTGTTTGTTTTGAGACAAAATTTCACTCTTGCTGCCCAGGCTGGAGTGCAGTGGTGTAATCTTGGCTTACTGCAACCTCCATCTTCAAGTTCAAGCTCTTCTCCTGCCTCAGCCTCCTGAATAACTGGGATTACAGGCATGCGCCACCATACCTGGCTAATTTTGTATTTTTAGTAGAAACTGGGTTTCACCATGTTGGTCAGGCTGGTCTCAGACTCCCAACCTCAGGTGATCTGCCTGCCTCGGCCTCCCAAAGTCCTGGGATTACAGGCATGAGCCACCGCACCAGGCAGCTGTTTTTAAAATTATGAATAAATATGTTTTCTGGGTTTAAAGAGTTTTAGGGCAGCCATGACAGATACCAAGAGATTATCTATTCTCATCAGCAAACACTAATGAAAAAAAGATTGTTTATCTTATTTTTTAGAAAAAGCTTTTTCTAACCTGTTAGATGCCTGATAAGAAAATATGAGGAGACTAGGAGTTCCTTATACATAATTAAGTAGCTCATTCTTGCAGATATTTCAATAATTCATATTTGAAATATACTTTTTTCCAACAAAATTGGCTTTTTAGATACTTCCCTTTGAAGATGTTGTGGTATAGGATTTTGTTTTTAGGGATTTTAAGAGGTTTGGGTCTATACTTTGCTAAGGGAAAATGAATAATGGAGACACATGGAGAATATTAAAATCACTATCTTAGTATGAAGTAAGGTCCTGTTGTTATAGAAGGAGCTAATTTATTGAAATGGATTTGGAGGATAGATGTGGGACGGCAAGGTTAAAGGGGTAAGAATAGAAAGAAGTACATATAGAACATTTGCTTGTTTCTCCCATGTCTCCCACCTGTTCTTAACCTGATTCTTCTCAAAGGAAGGGGTGAGTACTAGGTAAGATTAAGCAAAGACTGAAATGATAGCTTACCTGATACAGGATGTGAGATTTGTCGTACTGGTCCTTTGTTTCTTTTCACTTGCCTGTGAACCTGGCTAAGCACTGTAAAGGAACATGCAGTGTACCTTGTAAATGTTGAGTCTTTACCTGTTTAAAACTAAGCCTGAAATTTAAAGGGGACTTCATGCTCCAGATATTTGACTACCCGAAACACAGAGGGTACTCAAGCACTGTTGTCCTAGTAAATGTGTTGTTCTGTGGTGGAGGCTCCTTCACTGCTCTAAAGTGAAAAGGGATTGTGAGTTTTTAAGCTGTTGACTAGCTTAAACCAGGAGGACATCTTAGATCTACGAACAAAATTAAGGGAGGAGAACCAATGTTTCTGTGACAAATAGCGTTAGAATTAAGATAGCAGGTAAATGATTAAGGGAATGATCATTTATTCATCCAACAAGTATATCTTCATTATCTTGTCTATTCAAAGCATTAGAAAGATTGTCTTAAAGATGAGAGGGAAAATATTACTATTATGATTCTCTGCATTAATGCTTGAGTATGCCTGAGGAGGAAATGCTGAGCACACTAAGAGAAATAATGAGAAATATCTTGACTTCCTCATTTGGAACTTTGAGAATCACTAGATCAGCAGTATTAAAGTGTTTCAAAGGGTCCTGAGATCCTTTGGAGATACTCCAGCTGTCAGCAGATATAAGGAAGAAAAGGCCAACTCCAAGAGCATTCAGCTCCCCATTGACCTCTCCCCAAATCAACCAGAGTAGTCCTACTTTTATGTATTGTAAGTTTTTGTAATATTTTGTTTGGGCCTAGGGGAGGGAGGTAACCATGTGAAAAAAAGTTAGAAAACTGCCAATGACAGATTTTTAAGATCCTTCCAGCTTTAAAATATATGATTTGACAACTGTCTGACCTCTGACATTCCCTCTAGCTAAATTTTTATGCATCTTTTTGTTTGTTTGTTTCTTTGTTGTTTTGAGGCAGGGTCTCACTCTGTCACTCAGGCTAGAGTGCAGTGGCACAAACGAGGCTCACTACAGCCTTGACCTCCTGGGCTCAAGCAATTCTACCTCAGCCTCCCAAGTATCTAGGACCATAGGCGTACACCATCATGCCAGGCTTTTTGGTTTTTTTTTTCCCAGACGGAGTTTCTGGTCATTCAGGCTGGAGCGCAATGGCATGTTCTCAAATCATTGTAACCTTCGCCTCTTGGTTCAAGTGATTTTCCTGCCTCAGTCTCCCAAGTGGCTAGGATTACAGGTGCCTGCCACCACGCCTGGCTAATTTTTTTTTTGTATTTTTAATAGAGACAGGGTTTCACCGTCTTGGCCAGGCTGGTCTCAAACTCCTGACCTCAGGCGATCCATCCGCCTCGGTCTCCCAAAGTGCTGGGATTACAGGTGTGAGTCACCATGCCCGATCTTTTTTTTTTTTTTTGTAGAGATGAGGTCTGGCCATGTTGCCCAGGCTAATTTTATGAGTCTTAGCTTTTGTTTCTGTTAGTGCTTTTCTGGCAAAATGTTTACCTATATGTTAGGTTTTTCTGCATAGACTGAAGGATCAATTAGTTTCCCCATTTTATAATTTAAGTACATAGTGCCACATTTTAAAAGATAGAAATTTTATTTACTAACTAGTATTTACACACTTTATTTATTGAACATAGTACAGACAAACATGTAGCCAGATACCTTGCTTGGACCCTTTTCTTACTTAAGGCATGAATATTCAGCAGTACTTACAACCCAGTCCAAAAGTTTTAAATCTCAGTATTTCAGAATCACATTCTAGCCTAGAGAATAACAGCCTAGTTCTTTGAAGCTGATGTTTTTAATACCTTTTCAACTGATGTTGCTGAAAACAAACTAAACAGAGCATATTTATAATGCTTAGCAGGTAGTAATTCTCAATAAATTTTTACTGAATTGAAACATTCAATTCATATGTAAAACATTATTATTGCATCTCATCTTCAGTTTACAAAGAGCTTTCATACATAGTATACTTCTTGTTATAATCCATAACAATATGAGGATAGCGTACCGTATTTCACTAAGAGAAACCTGAGAACCACTGCAGTGAGGGAGTAGAAAGTTTAAAAATACTACCTTGCTTCTACCTGCCAAATGTAAATTAGTGTGAGCTTTTTGAGATACTCATAGTTTACTTTGTCTCTGACTTCTCTACTTGTACCCATTTTCTCATTTATTTTGTACTTAATTGTGTACTATACGCTGGGGGAAAAAAAAAAGACAAAAAAGCCCTGTATTTAGTTTATAAGCATTCTTCATTTTCCCTGAGTCTCCAACCTTTGGTATATGGTATTACAGCAAGTTTAGAAAATATGTAAGCCTTAAAAGGAAAAATGAGTAAGCTTTACTCTAGCAAATGACTTTATTTGATAAAAATTTTATAACACTTATGTCCTGTTATTATATAATTTATTCTTATTTATTATATACTTTATTCATATGTGTTATAATCTTATAACACTTATGTCCTGTTATTATATAATTTGACATGCCAAAATCAACATGAAACTAATCAGAACTTTTCTTAAATAGCAAAGCACCGATGTTCATATGGTTAGTGATAGCGATGGAGATGACTTTGAAGATGCTACAGAATTTGGGGTGGATGATGGAGAAGTATTTGGCATGGCGTCATCTGCCTTGAGAAAATCTCCAATGAGTAAGTATTAGTAGCTCTTTGGGTACAGCAATAGAATTCTTTCTTCTAGTACTCAGACTTATGAAGAACATTAAACTTAAAAATCTCTTACAGACCTCCACATTTGGGAATATAAGATAACAGAGAGTAGGCATTCTTCATTAGAACTAGAGCCTTTTGAATTTTGATTTTATTAAGCTGAAAAATTCCCAGTGCATTAGGAAAATTCATTTAAAAATGCAAAGGAGTGTAACTTTTGTTTTGTATGCATAATCAATTATGACAGTCTCTCTTTAAAGCTAGAGATTGATTAACAAACCAGGTGTACTTTCTGTGACTGATAATGTTTTCCCACATCTTATTAGAGATGCCAGTTTTAAGATTAGTAATGTTACTTTTCCATTCAATGGTACCCATCTTTGGAAGGAAAACAGTAAACTAAATGTGCCAGCTCTTTGACTTCCACTTACAAAATGCATACTATAGAATTACAGCAATGCTATGTGCAAAATGGCCACTAAAATAATAATGGCCTGTTTGCTTTGTGAAATTAGAGAACTCCTGTGGGCATAAATAGATGTGACGTTACATAAAATTGGCTATTTTCTCAATTAATGAGGTCTTTAAAATAATGTCAGACCCATTTAATATAATTTAGTCATAAAATGTCTATTTAGAGAAAACACTGAAATCCTAAATGATAACTGGGCACATATTTTAAATGTTTAGCAGGATTGTGACTGTTGGTTTTTCAAAATTTATGAGCTTGAAATGTTTTAAGGTTCTTTTTGATTCTGATTTGATGAGATCTAATATATGTTGAGTTAAACTGTCCCCTCAGATACATCACAGAAGCTAAAATTTAATTTGATTTCCTCTTTATTGATTAAATATATTTCTTATCTGTGGGACTAGATGTTATGTGGTTTGTTTTCTGTGTCTATTTGTTTTGTTTTTTTTGTTTTTGTTTTTTCTTTTGTTTGTTTTTTAGTGCCAGAAAACGCAGAAAATGAAGGAGATGCCTTATTACAATTTACAGCAGAGTTTTCTTCAAGGTAGGGTTAGGACATTAACTATATAAAATTGATGCTTTTTATACTACTGTGATTTTTTTCTTTGGCAATTTTAATTATGGATTGTTTAAAATTTCTCCTTAAAGTATCCAAAGGATATACTTGTTAATTTATGTAGTCCTAATAGTGAAACACATACTGTTCAATATGAAATAACTAGTAAAACATTAATGCCAGTTCAGAGATAGATTCAATTTATTTCTCTATCTTTATAGACATTCAATAAACGGATCCTAATTTAATATTTTTATTCTATTCCCAAAGGACCAGGATACAGTATACTACTTTTTAGTATATCCTAGGACAATCACATGGAAAATCCTTTAAAATAATATTAAATTTAAAAATAAATGTTTTTAAATCCAACTGAATTTTTTCTTTTGGAATTGTTTTACATTTCTTCCTTAAGTGTCAAATATAAAATGTTTTGTATGAATTTGAGAGTCTGCTGTGATGTTCAAATATAAAGAGAATTAATGTTTAATCCTCAATTTGGTATAAATGATTTTTTTAAATTATATTTTCTGTTGAAATGTAATATGGAAACTTAAAAGAAAGTTTTTTCCCTCTGTATTGGAATTCTGGAATAAATGAACTAAAATGAGAAAATAAGGCTAATGTAACTAGAAAAATCATATGCAAGTGAATAATCAAGAATTTCTCCTTATAAATGACATGGTTTCATAGCACTTATTAATTCATTTGCTAGGTGTACTTAAAACTCCAGTATTCTAGTATATCAGTATAGGCCAAAAAGAATTCTGAAAACCAATGAAGTTCATTTCTAAGCTTTTAAAGAAATGTTTTTATGTTTAGTATGCACTAGACATTGGCACCAACATTTACTTAAAAGTCATTGATTAGACTTGTGAAACTTTGAATTTGAAATGTATTTTAATTAATAGAGTTAATTTTTTCTATAGATATGGTGATTGCCATCCTGTATTTTTTATTGGCTCATTAGAAGCTGCTTTTCAAGAGGCCTTCTATGTGAAAGCCCGAGATGTAAGTACAGTTTGACCTTATCTGATTAAAAAGTGCATCCTACAGGTTTACTACTAGGTCTGAGGCAATGATTAAATGTTTTCTAGTTTTTTTGTTTTACAAAAAGCATGGAACTCTTCATGAATATGAATTTGTGTGTGATCATTGTGCAGGGGACATGCTAATCTCTGTATAAGTCCAGGTTTAGAATATGTGCTGCTGAAACAAAATGAAAAGCATTTTCTGTTTTTATTTTGAGATCGGAGACTTCATTTGTTTCTGGTTCATCTGCTAACCAAGTCTTCACCAAGATGCCCGTTTCACAAGGGACATTAATGTGATTAGGGTACTGCTGGCTCTGGCAGAAGGCCTTGTGAAGCACTGAAACAGTGCTTTTCTTAATGGGAAAAAAGGTGGACATGCTTAGAAGGCACCAGGCTACATGTTTGTATTCTTTTCAGTTATGCAATTGACTAGTTGTTGATAGATTTGTTCTTTAGTCTTTTCCCAAAGTGATTATTCTGTGTAGTGATATGTATCTAACAATTGCAGTATTTTCCCCAGTCACTTTGGGCCAAAAAAAAAAAGATGTTAAACATAGAAATGAACTTTGTGATCTTGAAGTCTATATAACAAGAAGTTCGTAACAAAGATTTAGAAGATAAATTTTGAGCAAGAAGATTCTAATCGCTCTTTGTAGGTTGACATAGCAGTCAAAACGTCAGTAATCCGGCTCCTGCCTATCTGTGTAGCTTCAGCTCTTCCCATTCCCTGCCTCACACTTAATACATCTGGCAATAGTGCACCATTTGTATTTCCCCAGAATCTTACCTTTTTTCATGCTTCTTCACTGCTAGAAATGCCTTTCATCCTGCTTTTTACCTGGATGACTTCTCCTCTTTCTCCTCTGAAACTTACCTTTTCTGGCTTCTTCCCCTCTCTCTCACATTGGTGGCACCTACCCTTTTAGCACTTCCTAGTACAAAACCATCTACTTATCTCTTATTGTTACACTTAACATAGTGTTTATAATTATCCATTCTACATATGTCTTCCCAGGAGTTTTGATTTTCTTTTGGCAGGGACTACATTCTTTATGTCCCTGTATTTAGTAAAAATTCATTAAGGGTTTGGTGAATGAAGGAATAAAGGAAGGGAAGAAGGAAGAAATAATGTGTATATGGAGTAGAGAGGAAAGCTATTGGAATTAAAGAGGGCAAGGAGTTTTGAGAACAGACTGCAAGGATGCCTCAGAGTTCTGTTTTCTAAATTATGTTAAATTCTGATACAAAGAAAAATCATTTAAAAATAAATTTTAAAAATCAAATTCCATAATGATTAATAATCAAATTAGAGCTATAATTGGTAGTCTAATGAATTTAGAGTAAGAAACTATTCTTTACCCTACAAATATCAGAATAGCCCTTTTAAATTGTTTTAAGCAATTGTTTCAACTAGTAAATCTATATAAAATGGATGTTTTTAAAGAAATGCATGTTTATGATAATATATATTTATGGTGTTCATAAATATGGGTTTATGGAAAATACTGGGCTGGATGTGATGACTCACGACTGTAAACCCAGCACTTTGGGAAGCCGCAGCAGGTAGATCACTTGAGCTCAGGAGTTCAGGATCAGCCCGGGCAACGTGGTGAAACCCCATCTTTACAAAACAATTACAAAAATTAGCTAGGCATGGTGGCACATGCTGGTAACCCCAGCTTCTTGGGGGACTGAGGTGGGAGGCTTACTTGAGCCCAGGAGGTAGAGGTTGCAGTGAGCTAAGATCATGTCACTGCACTCCATCCCGGGTAATAGGTGATATTCTGTTTCCAGAAGAAAAAAGAAGATACTGAAAAGCAAAGAGAAAGTATTCTAACACAGATTAACTGTTAAATATATTATGCTCTTTACATATTTATTATATATTTAGATGAGTATACATATGGAATTTTAGTATAAAATTTAGTCATGTTATAATCTTGTAATAACAGCTTTTTTACCTTTTAATATTATATGATCACTTTCTTAATTATAACTTCTTTTATATTATTTTAACTTTTATAAAAATATTTAAATTTTAATACAGAAAAAGTAGAAAGACTATTACAATAAATAACCAAATCTCTATACCTACATTTAATAATTATGAAAATTTTATCATATTTGCCTCTTCCATATATAGCCATCTCAAAGTTATAATGCAGCCTTAAGGCCTAAATGGTTTAAAAGGATTAACTGCTACAGATGGACAAAAAAGCAACATTTGAAATTTAATTATTTATATTTTTATACTTATTTGGATTTGTGATTTTGATGAATAAATTTTTATGGTAAATTTTTGTTTCAGTTTTTCTCTGATTGAAAATGGCAAATGTTGACTGGAACAGAGAATAAATTAAAAATTTATTCAAAATTCATAAAAACAAACAAGTATAAAAAATATAAATAAAACTTCAAATAATTTTTTAATAGTTTATAGAAGTTAAGTTATTGAATTTTTGAAACTTAAACTGAACAGAAACATTTAGGGTATCCTGTATTTTCATTGTTTTTTGCTAAGCTATTTCAAAATAAATTATAGATGTCATGCTTTACCCCTAAAAACATAAGCATGCATTTTCCAAAAATAATGATATTCTCCTACATAATCAGAATATTATTTTCACAAATAACTAAATAATCCCCTAATATTATCTAATACTCAGTGCATATTCAGACTTCACCGGTCATCCCCAGAATTTCTTTTTAGCTGTTGTTTTGGAACCACAGTCCACCCAGGATCACAAGTTATATTTGAGTATTAGATATCTTAAATACCTTTTAAGCAAGCACCATCTCTCCCCATTTTTTTCCCCTGGCATTTTCTTTGTGAAGATATCAGACGAGATAACTTGTAGATTGTTCCAAATTCTGTATTTGTATGATTGTTTCCTTGTGATATTATTTAACCCGCTATCTCTGATTTCCTGAAAAATGGATATTAGGTCTAAAAACTTTGTTAGATTCGGGTGAAATGCTTTGTAAAATAATGCTGAATATTTTATTTTAACAAGATTTTTAATGGTTTTGGAGCCTTTCATTGTATGGCCATGTTGTTATATTTAAATAATCACTTATTAGACATATATATGTTTGAAAGAATATCTACAGTTTTAAAATAATGTAGTTTTCAACTTATTCTTTGATAATAGTGCATTTGGGATATATCTTTCTCTGCTTTCCAGCAAGATTGCAAAACAGTTGAAGTAAACCAGAAAATGTCATGGCCTTTTATAACTTAAACTGTAGCTCCCAAAATTGGTATAGGTAATCTAAAAAACACATTCCAAAGCTTCTGTAAGATATACTATGTATACCTCAAACATTTTAGTTTTAAATGCAGATAACTTGCACTTAAAATACAGTATATCATAGACAAGAGAACTTTTAGTAAGTGTCTTGTACAGTAAATTGGCATTTGGATTTATTCAGACTGATAATCCCCTGAGGAATATAAGCTCTTGTTTATTAACTCCTGGATATTTCTAATGAAACAATTGATTGTTTGCTTTTCTTAGTATCTGGATGTTTTAGCAGATGAAAAATTATTGGTTCATGTAATTAAATATTTTGCTTCATGTTAGATTCATAACCAAAATCCACTGACCTCTCTGGACTGAAAAAATGTCCTTATCTTTATTCCTTTGTCCAGGGCTTTTTTCTTTTCTCGTTCCTCTTTTCCAAGTTACAGATCAACACTTTATGTACAGTTTATTACATTTTTAAAAACTTAAGTAAAGTTTAACTTCATGACAGATAAGTAACTCAGAATTAAATCTAAGTAGGTATATTTATTATGGTCCTCAAGCAGATTGTATAGATCTTCTTTTAATTGTGTAAGTATAGTAATTGTAATGTTACTTAAGAATTATATGATGCTCTGTGGTTTGTAAAACATGTTCCTATACGTATCTCATTTGAACCCCACAACCAATCAGTGAAATAGGGATATAGAATACTCATATTCCCATTTTAGAGATGCAAAAGCCCAAAAATGCTACATAACTTGCCTACAACACACTAAGAGCTCACATGTTCCAACACAGGTAAATATGGTTTACACTACCCCACCACACTTGAGTTTTCATTGCTAACTACTGTGCTGCAGGATTTAATCAAATTTCATCTCCTTTTCATATTTCACACTGGAGAATTAAAACAAATCTTGCTCAAGATTATTTTTAAAACTTTGGAATGAATCAGTTTTCAGAAAACAGTTTCTGATGTTCAAACATTTTAAGGCAAATGTGACAGACACTGTCGCACTCTTACTAAATTTTCATCTTAAATATCACATGTTTAATTTAAACTGTGGGAGGCACATTAATTTTACCAGGGCAACAGATGAGCCTCAAGCACCAGCATTCCTCACTTGAAGTGAGAAATTGAGTTCCAAGAGTAAATAAAAACAAGATTGAAGGTTTAAATCCTCTGCTAGGCTTTTTGAACTTATATACTCATTAAATGTTTATTGGAGTGGTGGGATTACAAAGGATTTGGGGAGCTTCATCAACTGGTATATAGTTAATCACTAAGTAAAACACTACATTTGATAAAGTGTTTCTCACGATGCCACATTCAATCCATCTTAATGAAAACTGCTTCAAACTGATTTCATTTGAGAGCACTTGGTGGTGAGAGTGCTCCTAGTTCTTTTTGCCTTTTTTCTTGAGGAATTTACAATACCATACCAAGCAGAGCCTCCAACTTTGGTAAAGCAATTATTCTAAGTTTTTATGTTTCTTTTAAGTATCTTGTGACCAAGTTTTGACTTCTGATAATATACTGATCTGTTTTATGACTTCCTTGCTTGCCCTTATCTATGAAGGACACTCATCCAGTTGAGGACTATAAATGTTTGTTACATGTCCTCTAAGGATCTGGGAAATAGAGGTTTCCTGCTTTTGCTCAGTCTAACAAGGAAAATAAAATAATATAAACAGATCCATACGGTATAGTATGCTATAGAAGAAAAGAGAAGAGGTACCTTCAACTACCTTATAAGTTCAGGGGGAAGATTTAGTTTCTTTCTTTTTTTTTTGAGATGAAGTCTCACTCTGTCACCCAATTTGGAGTGCAGTGACGTGATCTCGCTCACTGCAAACTCTGTCTCCTGTGTTCAAGCAATTCTCCTTCTCAACCTCCTGACTACAGGTGCGTGCCACCACGCCCTGCTAATTTTTG